AATGTTGACAAACCCTCACTTGTGGGGGGGCCCACTTTTTATTTTCAATTTTTTATTCATGTGGGGCCGGCAATCATGTGAGTGTTTGTCAACATTTTTGTCAAATTATTTTTGTACAAGTAGCTTTTTTCGTGGTGAGTGACTTATTCGTATTGGGATGGTAATGGGCCGGGTCGTCCGGTCCCTATTAGGCCCACTTCACAGGCTGACCCTGCCCCTATAAAATATAGGGCTGGCCCTTCTTCCATTGTTGGGCCCTAGTTTGGCCCATCGGACCAAGCAGGCACATATCCCTTCCTTATTTTTTTATTTTTTTTGGGTTAATAGCAGAAAACTCCTGTAGAAGAATTTTCATTTACGATATACCCCATACCTATTGGAAATCGCAGAAACCCCCAATATTTGAAACATTTTGTACGAAAACCTTCTCATCATCAGATTTTTCGTTAAAAATAGTAAAAATATCAAAATTAAATAATAATAATTGCAATTTTAGTATTTAAACTTTTTATTCTTTTATAAATCATACCCAATTTTTTTTGTATATACCACAGCAATTCCAAACTTTTAAAACTTTATTTTCCGCCCCACCCCACGTCACTTCATCTTCTTTCCCAAAACTTTATTATTTTATTTAATTCATTCCAAAATCCTCCAAAATCCCTCATTCCAAATTCATCATTTATTCTTCTCATTAATAATGAAAAATCATAATCAATATACGCATATGCAGAATTTATTATTTTATATTGAAATTAAAATAAATTTAGAACACATACAAAGTGAATGAACGCACATTGAAAGTGATCAGAGAGAAAGAATACTGATTGTCCCCCATTGATTTCTATATTAAATTTTAACTAAACTCTTGTAGAATGAATTGAAAAGAAAGACAAAAAAATATACATTATAACTATCTCTATATCGAGTGTACATACAAGTAGAAAAAATAAAAACACTCGAGCTAAATAATATCTCCATATGAAACTTCAAATTGATAGCCAAAAAGCACTTTTCTTAGCTCCTAAATCCCTCACTCCAAAGATCTCTATTTGGAATGAGAAGAAGAAATGATGAATTTGGGGTGAGGGATTTATGAGGATTTGCTAAGGGATTAAATAAAGGACCTTGCTTAGTGTACATAATTTTTGTACATAAGGGTGTCATTTCCCTCACAGGGGATGGGTCCCACCACATGTTGCCATGTGAGGGAAATGACACCCTTATATACATTTTTTTATGTACATCAAGCATAATTCTTAAATAAAATAATAAAGTTTTGAGGAAGAAAATGAAGTAGGGTGGGGTGGAAAATAAAGTTTCAAAGGTTTTGGATTGTAGGTGCTACGTACATAAAAAAAAAAAAAAAAAAAATTGAGTTTAATTTGTAAAAGAATAAAAAAATTTGGATACTAAAATTGCAATTA